CCAAGTGGGAGGCATAGGCATCTGCGTCTTCACGCAGCCTCCGCAGAAAAGAGATGCCCTTTGTCTTCTCTCGTTTATTCCCTTCCTTTCTATCTTGTTTTGCTTTAATTCTGCTTTTTCTCTTTTATACATTTATATTCTCTTTTCTTGCATAGCATTGGACGGGAGATGCCAATGCAGAGTGAAAAAAAAAATTATTCACAATTGTTTCATTTGGAATTATTTCACCTTTGCAATAGGGGGAATTTTCTTTTAGTTTTCATTGTTTAGAATTTTTATTTTATTGACATTTTACATTATTAGTTATTCGATTTGTTTTTTAGAATTTTTATTCGATTTTAATTTTTTCTGATTATTATTATTATTATTATTATTATTATTATTATTATTATTATTATTATTATTATTATTATTATTATTATTATTATTATTATTATTATTATTATTATTATTATTATTATTATTATTAATAATATTATTATTATTGAATTGACTTTACAAATTATCACAGTTTTCTTGAAAGTATATCAAATTGATACTAAAGTGGATCAAATTGATACTAAAAGTTTGGATCAATTTTTTATTTGATCCACATTTTTGGTATCAATTCGTTGCAATCTAATATTTTTTAGTTATCAGTGATTCGATTATAATGTTTTAATTTTTTCATGAATAATTGTACCAGGGCTCGAACCAGTGAAAGTATTTAAAAATACGGACTTTACGGACCAAAATTTACAAATTACGGACCAATTACCAATTACCAATTACCAATTACAAAAATATAACCAGTTATAATAAAATATAACCCAGTGATAAAATCATTATATTTTATATTATAAGAATATTGTTACTGATGTAACTTCTTTAAAATTATTTTCATAACGCGGTGCAAAAAAGGGCACTTTTTTGCACCTTGTTATGAAAAATATCGTTCGTAACTAGTGCTAGCAGTTGCCAATTTTTGAACGAGCACTTTTTTTGGAACAAACTGTAGGCGAAGCTTCGCTTCGCCTACAGTTCGTTCCAAAAAAAGTGCTCATTCAAAAATTGCCAACTGCTCGCACTCGTTACGAAATATACTATTTCATCATTTCCTTACAATTATTATTTTCTAGAATTTTTCACTAAAATTTTTACTTTGAATCAATTATTTTTAATGATTTACGAAAAAATTCTTTGAGAATTTTCAAATCCATTTGTTTACAATTCAATTATATTCGATTATTCGGAAATTCTTCAATTTAATATATTTATAAGAAAATAAAAACTTGAAATAATTCTTTAAAAATCCAATTAAACTTTTTCAAAAAAATTAATTCTACAGAATTTTTAGTTAAAAGTATGAAAAATTTAAATTTTCAAAGATTTTAATTTGAAACTTTTTTAATATTCAATTATTTCTAAAAATGCAAGGCTGTAATGCTTTTAATATTCAATTTTAATCTAAAATTTTTAATAAAATTCATTTTTAAATCAATTTTTATTAGAAAATTCCACGAGAATTCAATTATTTAAATCAAAAAATAAATAATTTATTGAATAATTGAATGTTTCTTAAAATTTAATTCCTTTGACGAATTTTTAAAAAATTTTTAAGAATAATTACATTTTTCGAGGAATTCGATTAAAATTGTATTAAAAATAATTGAAATTCTGCTATGAGTTTTATTATTTATAAAAAAAAAATTGAATCTATAAAAAGAATTTTATTATTTATGAAAATAATTAAATTATTGGGAACAAATTTATAAAAAATTTGTAAATAATTGAATTCCTGTGAAATTTTTATTATTTTATGAAAGTAATTATATCTTTGCGTAGAATTTTATTAAAATTTTTTTAAATAATTGAATTCTGTTGGAAAATTTTATTGAAATATAGTAGATATTGAAAATCATTAAATTCAGGAAAATTTTTGAAAATAATTGAAATTTTGAAAAGAAGTTTATATTAAAATTTTGAAAAATAATTGAATTCTTGGTACGAATTTTACTTAAATTTTGAAAAATAATTGAATAATTCTTGCAACGAATTTTATTAAAATTTTGAAAAATAATTGAATAATTTTTGCAACGAATTTTATTAAAATTTTCAAAAACACTTGAATTCTTACGAAGAATTTTATTAAATTTTTGTTAAGTAAATTAATTCTAGCAAAAAATCTGTAAAAATAATATGAAATAATTTATTTTTGTCGAAAATTTTATGAAATATAAATTATGAAAATTTTTAAAAATACTTGAATTCTTACGAAGAATTTTATTAAATTTTTGTTAAATAATTGAATTCTTGCAACGAATTTTATTAAAATTTTAAAAAATAATTGAATTCTTGCAACGAATTATATTAAAATTTAAAAAAATAATTGAATTCTTGCAACGAATTTTATTAAAATTTTAAAAAATAATTGAATTCTTTGCAACAAATTTTATTAAAATTTTCAAAAATACTTAAATTCTTACGAAGAACTTTATTAAATTTTTGTTAAATAATTGAATTCTTGCAACTAATTTTATAAAAATCGTTTTAAGTAGTTGATTTTTGTCGAAAAATTTTATGAAAATTGTGTTTTAAAGAAAATTAAATTCCTCTGAAAATTCTATTAATTACGAAAATAATTGAATTCCTAAAAAGAATTTAATTATTTACGAAAATAATTGAATCCCTGTAAAAATGTTATATTTATTTATGAAAATAATTGAATTATTGAGAAGCAATTTATAAAAAAAAATTTGTAAATAATTGAAGTCTTTTAAAATTTTTATTATTCTATATGAAAATAATTAAATGTTTGCGTAGAAATTTATCAAAATTTATTTTAAATTTAAATAATTGAATTTTTTTAGAAACTTTTATCACAATAGTAGATTTTGAAAATTTTTGAAAGAAAATTGATAAAATTTTTTGATAATTGAATAATTTTGCTAAGAATTTTATTAAAATTTTCGACAATAATTGAATTTCTGAGAAGAATTTTATTATTTATAAAGATAATTGAAATTTTGACCAGGATTTTTTTTTATAACATAATTGGATTTCTTCGAAGAATTTTGTTACTTTTGAAAATAATTGAATTTCTGCAATCATTTGTAACTTCTTCAAAATTCTCTCAATTATATCGTGTACAATTTACGAACTTTTCTTGCTTTTTCAATTAAATTACGGATTTTACGGGCTTTTTTTTAAACACTCTAATTTTGAATTTATAAAAATATTTACTAATTTAAATTAGTGAGTGACTTTTAGCTTTCAAATTAGTAAATTTTACTAAAAAATAGTAACTTCTACTAATTTTTTAGTAAAATTTACTAATTTGTAAGCAAAAAGTCAGTTACTAATTCAAATTAGTAAACATTTTTACTAATTTAAATTTAGAGAGAAAAAAACTGACTTTTACGGACTTCAAGCATTTTTTGCGGAGATTTACTGGATTTACGGACCTAGTTTGTGATCTGTTGTATACGTATAACTAGAAGTTTTATATTGATGAAAACTTTTCAGTAATAAAATTTGAATTTAGAAAATTTTTTAATGTTTTAATTTTTTTTTTTTTTTTTTTTTTTTTTGAGTAGTTAGTTGTACGGGTAACTCGAAGTTTCAATGGTGCACTTTCCTCTATAGAGAAATAGAGAGAGAGGAGATATACTTTGACAGCTATCAATTTCTTAGTTTCACTCTAATTGAATGCGCAAAGGTCGCTTGCGGTTTCAGAAACTTTATAAGAGATAATGGTCATAGGAGAGTGTATATAACGTCTCGTATATATATATGTGTATGAAAAAGGCGAGGTGTTGATTCATTGCTGTCTCTCAACTAGTGTCTAAAAATCTAAACACTATATGCCAACACTTGTTCATTTCACAGGGATATATTATAAAGGATAAGTGCGTCTCGTTGTATTTTCGTCCTGGCATGGCGCGTTGAGGAAAAGTGTATATTTGTATATCTTGAATTATGCGTTTGTTTTGCCGCATGTTTCTCCCGGAATATATAAGGAGGAATGTTTCTTTATTCCTATGACTTCGCACACTCTCGGAAATCATCAGCATTTTACTATTTCCTCATGCTGTGTCTTTTTTTAATTGTTAAAAATTACTTTTTGCCTCGCTTTTGGCATAAATTTTAATTTTTTTTTTTTAATACCGCGGAAAAAATTTAATCTATTCAAATAAACCATTACTTGTCTATTATGAAATAAATATTTACTTGAGGCAAAAAAATATTTACTTGAGGCAAAGAAATATCTACTTGAACCAAATAAATATCTACTTGAACCAAATAAATATCTACTTGAACCAAATAAATATCTACCTGAACCAAATAAATATTTACTTGTATGAAATAATTTTTGCTTTTATCAAAAAAATTTTATTTAAACCAATCAGTGATCGAGGCAAATACCACTTAATTGGCTTATAAATAAAAATTATTTATTGCAAAGAAATATTAAATTATTAATTAAATAAATTTTATAGAAAATTGTTAATATTCAATTTCTCCTTCTTATATTCTTTTTTTTCGATTTTTATTAAAAAAACAGTTTTAATTTAAATTAATAAGTAATATATTATTAATAAATAAATTTTATTAGTCCATTAATTTTATATTTAAAAATACTTCTAAAATTATGAATTTCTCGACGTACTTAATTATTTATCAACATAAAATTGTATTTATAGCACAAAAAAAAAAATGTTAAACGTGTTGCAGTTGATAAATGTTTTTAATACTTTTGTAGTTTATTTCTTTTTATATTTTTTTCTAGTCTATAGTAAAAATATTTATATTTTTTTTTAATTTGTAGTGAATAATTTTTTTTTTATTGTAGTAAATAAATTTTTTGTTTAGTTTATAGTGAATAATTTTTTTAGTTTATAGTGAAAAAAATTTGTCACATTTATAGTTGTTCGCGAGAATGATTTCATTACAAGTAGATTTATAATTTTTATGATAATTGTGTTTAGTTGCGAAAACATATACGACATTATCATTTTCAGGTGATCCTATGATAACATCCTCTCTGAAGGGTAAGTGGCCAGCGACAGTTCATCTTTTCTGATTTTACAATAGAAGCTCCACCATCACGGTACGGAATTTTTTTTTCCAAAAAAAAAAATAAATAAGTAAATAACAACTTCTCACGTTTTTGAGCCACGTGCGTGCAATTGATTTTTACACCCCCTTAAAGTTTGTGACGCTTTCACTCTCACATAAACACACACAAAATCCCTTTTTAAAAATAAATTTTATACATTTTTCTCCCTAAATACTAAAAACGCAGTAGTTTGTTTATAGATTTTTTCCTAAATACTAAAAAAATGCTGTAGTTTGGAATTTTGCATGAATTTCCAATTTTATTTTTATTTACAGCCCCACGCAACTTGAATTAACTAAAACTTTTTAATACTCAAATATTATAAATTTAATTTTTATTTTCCTTTCTTGTTTCTTTTTTATTTATTTTAAATTTATGTTTTGTGTTGTTATTTTTTTCTGTTAATAATTTAACTAATATTTCTTAATATTATTATTTAACTGTAAATTTAACTAGTTTTTTCTTTCTTCTTTTTCTTTTACACTAAACTTTAATTTTCTGTGAGTGCCGAGATTAGATTTTTTTACCAGTAATTATTTATTCATTTCATAATTAACTGACTTAATTAATAGAATTTATTAATACTGATTTAGAAATTTTTACAAAATAGAATTTTTTAGCATAGATATGGTTTTTAAATTAAGAGAAAAGAAATATTTTTTCTGGTAGTAGCTTTAGTAGCTTTTGCAGTTTTCTAACAATTTGACGCAATATCTCGCTTTTTATATATAATCTTATCATTAGGAATGAAAAATTGGAATCTATTTTTAAATATTGTTTTGCAATATAGAAATAGCAATGAAATAATATTTAATTTAATTTTTAAACAATAGTTATTTATCGACGAAGCTTGTTGTTAAATAATAATTATTTAACATTTCGCATTCTTTTCTTTTAAAAGTTAAATAATAATTGCAATTCGTTCACTAATAAAAAATGTCAAAACCCTTAAAAATAATTTTTTTAGCTTCGTTTGGAAGCTAATATTGCAAAAAAATAGATTCTTCGTCTACTGAGACTAAAAATTAGTAAAATACGAGTTGTAATAGGACAGAAAGTTGAATAGAAAATAAATATCTCGACGTATGAATTTACAAGTACTGCGAGTATACAAACTACATGACAGTTTTACGATGCATCTATAATTCCTTGTCAGCTTTCACTGTTATAATACTAATTAAAAAGTCGAAAGCAATTTTTTTTGACAATTATAATGCCAAAAAAAAAAAAATGTTGTTTTATTAAATTACTAATCTTGGTGTAGTTTCTTTTGTATTTTTTCCTTAGAAAAATGTATTTTAGCTCTAAAAATGAATTCCGAAAGTAAAAATAACTAGTAATTTATTAATAAAGTAGTATTTTAATTTTTTCTAAAATTTTTGAAATATCGAAAAAATAATTGAAATCGAAGAGGAAGAAAAGTGAATTTTTAGAATTATTAAAATGGAATATTGTGCATGACGTAACAACTTGGGTAAATTTCTAATTCGTCGATTTTTGCTCAGAAATATATATATTTATTTAATAACTATAAATACTCGAGTATTAATAATAATTAATTCATAAATTACGAGATAAAATTCCATTTACTTCACGAATTTTATTTGAAATTTTCTCTTCAACTTACTTTTTCGAATAATTTTTAATTTTTAATAATTTTTTCCAATAATATTCATCCAGTAATTATTATAATTATTGTTATTGAATACTTATTATAAATTTTATTATTATTTATTATTTTATTATTATTTTTTATTAATTAATTATTATTTTTTATTAATTAATTATTTATTTATTTATTTATTTATTTATTTATTTATTATCATCATAATTATTAAAATTCTAAGTAATAATTCATATTGTATTTTAAGTATACTTTAAAATTGTTAAATGGTCGCAGTTGTTAAAGTGTTCAGAGTGGTTAAGTTATAGTTCGGGGTTCGATTCCCTTAGACTGATGAAGATATTAATTAATAAAATTCTTATTTATTTTATAAAGATAAAAAATAAATAAAAATTAAAAGTAGGAAAATAATGGAAAAAATGAATAATTAATAATTAATTAATTAAAATTTAAAAATAATAAAATTAAATAAATATTAAACAAGTAAAAAGTAAATAAAAAAAAATGAATAATAAATAAGCAAAATGTTAATAAATAAATATTATAAATAAAAATAAATAAATATTTATAATTATTTATGTAAATGTTTGTGATTATAAACTTGACATATATTTAATATATTTAATTTCTTCAAGTTTATCTATCGATATATGGACAATAATAGAGAGATATACACACTCGCAAAAGGGAGTCGCACATTAAATGCACGATATTTTTATTTAACTGAGTGAAAAAGAAAGAAGGAGAAGTAGTGATTCGTCCTTGTAACGTCACATCCTGCCAAGTCTTGTACAACTTGTGTTTAGTATAATATATATATCGGTATATATTTTGCGATCGTTTTTTGAGATAAGTTTATTTTTATATTTTTGAAACTCTAGGAGTACGTGTAGTAAAAGATTACATTTTTTTCGAGATAAATAAAAGAAAATTTTTTTTTTAAATAAATGAGAAAATAATAATTTTTCAAAGATTAATAGATGAATAAATTTTTTTCATACAAGTAAATAAAGAAAATTTGTTGATAAAGTAAGTAAATTAATTTTTTTAATTAAATAAAAGTAATGGATTTTTTAAATAAGTAAATGAATAAATTTTTTTAATATTAAATAAATAAATAAATTTTTTAATACAAGTAAATAAAGAAAATTAATTTAATAATAAAGTAAGTGAATAAATTTTTTTAAATACATAAAAAAATTAATTTCTTAAATAAAAATACCGAAATTAAATAAATAAATTAATAAAATAAAAAAATTTTTTCAATACAAGTATATAAAGAACATTTTTAGTAATGTAAGTGAATAAATTCCCTTTCAAATAAATAAATAAAATAAAAATTATAATAAATATCTAGGCAATAAAAATAAATTAAAAAGATATATAGTAACCTTCAGAGAAACTATAATTTTTCAGTCACTCTTACATTGGCATGGCCTGAAACAAGTCCCCTTAAAGAAGAGATAAGATACCATTCATGTGTATAAATTTGCAAAAAATTATAAAAAAAATTAAGTACTTAACTATTTGTCATTAATTAGCTAAATGATTCATTAACTAAATAATATTATTTATGGTTAATTCATTAATCAAAATTAAATATAAATTAGCTTATTAATTATTGCCTTTATTAATTAATTACCTAATTAATTAATTGCTTGATTAATTACCTGCATAATTAATTAATCCTCTATTATTTTAGTACATAATTAATTTTTTTATTCATTCATTACTCAAATAATAATTTTCTTTATTAACTCACTGCTTAATTAATTTCTTTTTAATTTTCTACTTAATTAATTAACTCCCCTATTAATTCACTACTTACTAAATTAATTCCTTTATTAATTAACTACTTAAATAATAAGTTTTTTTATTAATTCACTACTTAATTACTTATTCCTTTATCAATTTACTACTTAAATAATAATTTTTTCTATTCTTTCACTACTTCATTAATTAATGCTCCTATTAATTTACTAATTAATTAATTAATTCCTTTATTAATTTACTCCTTAAATAATAATTTTCTTTAACAATTCACTACTTCATTAATTAATTCCCCTATTAATTTACTACTTAAATAATAATTTTCTTTAACAATTCTCTACTTCATTAATTAATTCCCCTATTAATTTACTACTTAAATAATAATTTTCTTTAACAATTCACTACTTCATTAATTAATTCCCCTATTAATTTACTACTTAATTAATTAATTCCCCTATTAATTCACTACTTAATTAATTAATTCCTTTATTAATTTAATCCTTAAATAATAATTTTCTTTAATAATTTAGTACTTAATTAATTCCCCTATTAATTCACTACTTAATTCAATAATTTCTTTATTAATTTACTACTTAAATAATAATTGTCTTTATTAGTTCACTACTTTAATAATAATTTTCTCTTTTAATTCACTGCTTAATTAATTTCTTTAGTACTTAACTACTTTATTAATTAATTTGTTTATTAATTCACTACTTAATTAATTAATTAATTATATCATTATTATCTGTTTATTGTTCATTATTTTTTATTATTTTATTTCATTTCTTATCTACTTCATTATTAATATTCCAATTATTATGAAATTTTTTTTGTTTCACTATTATTATTATTGAAATTTTTTTATAATTATTTTAATAAAGCTTGTTAATTATACAAATTTTTAACACTATCTTTTAGTTTTGGATGATGTTTTCCTTTTCTTATTTTGCTGAATTTGATTAATATAGTCACACGCACAACAAATTGGCCTATTTGTCTACATATATTAACATGCCTCTAAATTATTTAAGCACATATATTATATATATATATACACATTTGTAATTATAAAAGTTTTCCTGATGGCAAATGAAAGTAAACTCGCTGTGTATAATTAATCAGTAGATCGTGAAATGTTCTTAGTACATAATTCTTAATGCATCATTTATAAAAATTTGCATTCCCCTCTTTATATATACAAATGCAGTTTACTAACTTCTAGTACATGCTCTTGTTTTTTTTTAAAAGACTAAAAGTTCATTTCAAAATTCTCACGATCATTTTTTTTTCTCTTTTTTTTCGCTTTCCGCATTATTTGTGAATTTATGTTCTTTTGCCCTCTTAATTGCAAAGAATTTTGACATTTTCCCTAGAATGTTTTCATTGGGAAATTCTAAATTATCTGATTATTTTAATTAATTGCTGCATTAATTATATGTGAATTTTTAGCAGATTTCTTTTTTTGGGATTTTATTTTTTCTTTCGGAAATTTAATTGTAGTGATAAACTTATTAGTGAATGTAGTCATTTTTTTT